ACTTGCCCCTACAGCCTGTTAGAGGTTACACGGGGGATCTTTATCTTTGTGTGTTCGTGTGATGTCCGCTGTTCCACGCGGGTGGCGCCTGCCCAGTTCCCCTGGCCCACCTCGCCCCACCAGAGCCATAGAGCGGCCTCGCGGGATACGGAAAACCATCCTCAACCTCACTGAACTACCCAAACCAACGGAGTGGATCCATGGACCCCCACACCCACCAGTGGCGGATTATCCTAGCAGCTAAAGTTGCAATAAATGATCTTCTTGGGTCTTTCGGTAAATTCACGTAGAATGGAAATAATAAAATAATAAAAATAAAACATAATTCTCACGACGTTTCGGCCACAACGCAAGCAGCCGTCCCTCAGGTGAAGAACAGGTCTGTCGAGAAGTCATTCAGACGCTGTCTCTCGACAGACCTGTTTTTCACCTGAGGATGGCTGCTTGCGTTGTGGCCGAAACGTCGTGAGAATTATTTAATGTTTTATTTTTATTATTTTATTATTTCCATTATACGTGACTTTACCGATAGAACCAAGAAGATGAATCCCTGCAGTCACGAAAGCTTTAAATCGAAATTTGCTATAAATGCTACGGGCCCCGCACTTTCAAGGGCCCCGCGCTAAACGCTTTCAAGCTATCAATTCCGGTTCAGTCATTCTGCACGTGCTCTAATACTATAGTACTACACTGCCTTCAGCTTTTATGGACAACTGGGTGTTTCAGGTTAGCGATTTGTCGTATTATCTGGTTGTATAGCAAATGTAAAAATTAAATTACTTTACTAAGCAAGTGTAGAGGAGTAAAATGGGGACGTGACGTCAGGTGTGCCGTTCAGTGCGATGACGTCACGTCTCCTAGGGTACTTAAGGGAGACCCCGTGACGTAAGCGGGGTCACTGTGGGAACGGGTAAAGTAAGCAGGGTGAAGAGGGAACCAGAGGTATAGACAGTGGCGGCTCCTGCAAAATCTCTCAGGGGGGGCAGATGTCTGGATGATTGATAAGGATAAGGTCCACCCATGCAACAGCTTAAGCATGTAAAGGCAACTTCACTTCTTTAATATTAATTGAAAAATAAAGTGACTCTTACAATACATCTTGTTTGTTTCTATACTCACTATTAAAACAAACCACTCAAGTTTATTTTATTAAAGATTCCACTAGGTGGCGATAAATTATATTGTTGGATGAAACGTGCTTACGTATGATGACGTTAGCACGTATGATGACATAAGCACGTTAGTGCAAGCCCTCCCGGAAGCCATAGAGAATGCATTGCAGCGCCCCCGTTCGAAAAAAAACATCTTTGAATGTAAGTCTATGGGGCCACTCGGGGCGATTCTCAGCCGGAGTGAAATCGCCCAAAAAGAGGCGGTACTCCACAGAACGTGACATGACGCTGATTGGACTATATCCAGAGGCACAGTGACGACTAGCGTGACTCTGTGGTTGAATGACATTGGTGGTGCGTCGCCCAATCGCCCTAATGAAGAAACCGCCCCTGACTATAGAGAGAGGGATCGAATAGGGAGTCTGGGGAGAAGCCGGTGGTAGCCGTAGAGGTGCTTCTCTCTCCGCTCGGTGGAGTCGGCAGAGTCCACGATCCGACACGAGAGAGAAACCGGAGCTAGCAGGGACCTGGACTCAAGAGTAGGACTCCTAGCCCCTGGGAGTTGTGTACCCTGGTGTGTAATATTGTAACAGCTTTAATAAACCCTGGCGGAAGCCCTTAACTTACCTCCGTCTCCGAGTGCGTCCGTCGGAACTTCTGTACACAAGTAAAAAAATTGATGTCTTTTAATATTTACGTTTTTTTTATTTAGGGACCTTTAATAACCACATATGCTACAGGCCCCGCAATTCGCTTCATCCCCTGTGAGTCGGTAAAGTTTGTCACGTAAACAACACGTGGACAAATTGGTGACCACTTCGAACCCGGACCGGCCGTCGTTGTTGTTGTTGTTTCGCTGGAGAGTAAATCCGCAACATTTACAACTCGCGACGCGGCATCGAGCGACGATTTGCCAATAATTGTGACGCGATCCGCCCCTCTGCTTCCGGTCTTTAAGGAAAGCACGGTGACGTCATCGCTGTGAGCCAATCAGGTGTAGTGTATGGACGTGTCGATTTAAAGCTTTCGTGACTGCAGGGATTCATCTTCTTGGTTCTTTCGATAAAGTCACGTAGAAGGGAAATAATAAAATAATAAAAATAAAACATAATAAAATAATAAAAATAAAACATAATATCGGTAAAGTCACGTAGAAGGGAAATAATAAAATAATACAAATTAAACATAATATTGCTAAAGTCACGTAGAAGGGAAATAATAAAATAATAAAAATTAAACATAATATCGGTAAAGTCACGTAGAAGGGAAATAATAAAATAATACAAATTAAACATAATATTGCTAAAGTCACGTAGAAGGAAAATAATAAAATAATAAAAATAAAACATAATATCGGTAAAGTCACGTAGAAGGGAAATAATAAAATAATAAAATTAAACATAATAAAATAATCAAAATAAAACATAATATTGGTAAAGTCACGTAGAAGGGAAATAATAAAATAATAAAAATAAAACATACTATTATGTTATATTTTTATTTAAAGCTTTCGTGACTGCAGGGATTCATCTTCTTGGTTCTTTCGGTAAAGTCACGTAGAAGAGAAATAAAAAAAATAAAAAAATAAAACATTAATTTTTTTATTAGTTTTTTATTTCTCTTCTACGTCACTTCACGTAGAAGGGAAATAATAAAATAATAAAAATAAAACATTATCTTTTTATTACTTTATTATTTCCCTTATATGTGACTTTACCGAAAGAACCAAGAAGATGTATGGACGTTTTTTCTTGCTGTAGTTGTCACACCTGATAACGATTGCTTGTGTTGCGATCGAAACGTCGTGATCTATGAATATTCTACCTACGTTACTTTACCGAAAGAACCAAAGATAATGGGGGGGGGGGGGGTATTGTAACTATATTACAATTGATTTGTTAATCACAGTTGATTGACACGTGATGCCTTTACAAGGAATGCATTTGTAAGGTGTAAGACGCGCCTGTCAACCCGTACGGTGTACCCCGTATTCTTGTGCAGGGAAATCGAGTTTTTCAGGTCCATACGGCGCACAGCAGAGGTCGCAACCGGGTACCCGATACCCGTACCCTACCCGATACCCGGCTACCCGTACCCGGCCGGGTACGGGTACCCGTTTGCGATCCTGGTGCGGCCGGGTACGGGTAGGCCGTGAGTCACTGGTGAGTCACCGTTTGTCACTCATTTCCCAACGTCTTGTCTCTTCTCACAATTCAAGTTCCTAGAATCAACCCACCCGCGCCTGCAACATGGCTTCATCTCAGAGGTCGCAATCAGGTACCCGATACCCGTTTGCGACCCTGGTGCGGCCGGGTACGGGTAAGGAATCAAAACCCATTTGCGACCTCTGGCGCACAGCCGTTTCAAGACGGGCAGCAAAAATGTGTCTATTTGTGTTTCTCCCTTGTGATGTAACTTTGTAGGATGAACATTCAGAATTACAAGGAGCACGGGGTGATCAATACAGGTCTGAATTGGGCTGTGATAAGGTAGGGCACTGATAAGGGGTTGACAGGTTTGGTATATAAGTGTAGTCTATAGTGAAGTGTATAGTAGTGTAGTGTTTAGCGTAGTTTATAGTAGTGTAGTGTATAGTGACTTTGTAGGATGAACATTCAGAATTATAAGGGCACGGGGTGACCAATAAGGAATGAATTGGGCTGTAAAAAGGTAGGGCACTGATAAGGGGTTGACAGGTATGGGATAAAAGTGTAGTCTATAGTGTAGTGTATAGTGACTTTGTTGGATGAACTTTGAACATTATAAGGGCATGGGGTGACCAATAAGGCCTGAATTGGTCTGTAATAAGGATGGGGCACTGATAAGGGGTTGACAGGTACGGTAATTGTCTACCAATAGATCGTTAATCACAGTTGAATAGCACGAGATGCCCTTACAAGGAATACAATTTTAAGGTGTACGACATTCACACTTAGACGATCCAATCCAAAAACCTTTATTGTGAATAATATCGGTCTCGAAAGCCCGCTCCGTGCTAAACGTTCAGTCAGCTGTGCTCTGCCAACCAACAGGACCGAGCCTGCGTTCCACGACCGAAAACCAACAAGAAACCTCGATCCTAAACCTTCAATGGTGTCCCCACCCCGAGTAGGAAGTGCCGGTCAAGACAGCATCTGGGCCGTTCTGCTACAAAATCTTCACTCACAAGACCCTCCGATTAAAATGTCTCCCATGGCTGTTTACTTAACTTACCAAAGAAGAGTCAACTTCGACAAAACAACGTCCATGCCCCTAAGACTGCCCCCAGGATCTCTCCCGGTGCACACCGACACAAATTTACAGCCGCCCGTCGCCACTAAGTGACAGCAACGGCACCCGTGCCAGGCCAGGTGCACTTTGTTGTAGGTTCTTCCTGGTGTCAAACCCCCTTCCAATATCACCTCTCTTTCTGTGTGTGCGCACGTGTGTGTGTATACCTGATATATTTTTTGCGTATAATAATAAAAAATACGCGAACATTCAGACTGCCGTTCTCTCGAGATCTGTCCAGCAAACTTCGATATTGCACAAGACCCGATTTAAAGCTTTCGTGACTGCAGGGATTCATATTCTTGGTTCTTTCGATAAAGTCACGTAGAAGGGAAATAATAAAATAATAAAAATAAAACATTATAAAATACAATTCTCACGACGTTTCGGCCACAACGCAAGCAGCCGTCCTCAGGTGAAGAACAGGGCTGTCGGAAAAACAGCGTCTGAATGAACACTACCAAGCTTGGCAGCGTATATTTACACTCCTCTTGATATGCAAATGTCTTTGTCAAGGCGCTCTTCCCCCTCCAACCCAGCTTAAATATATGCTGCCAAGCCTGGTGGTGTTCATTCAGACGCTGTCTTTCCGACAGACCTGTTTTTCACCTGAGGACGGCTGCTTGAGTTGTGGCCGAAACTTCGTGAGAATTGTATTTTATTATGTTTCATTTTTATTATTTCCATTCTACGTGACTTTACCAAATGAACCAAGAAGATGCACAAGACCCGTACACACGCTCTCTCTCTCGCTCTCGCTCGCAGTTAAACCGTAAACTAGTATTACCGTCCACGTCAATCGAGACAATTTCGAATATATTACCCTGTACCCAAAAAAACCCAAAATATACATGTTTACATGACTTAATTTCCTTAGCAACTCCGCGCACGCGCTGCGTATTAGATTGTAACGGGGGCCACTCCGGCTACGAATGGTGTATATTTATATATATATGGGATTATCAAAGTAAAATGATAGGTTTCATTATTTTACTTTGATGTATGACGTATCGCTGGTAATTACAACTTGCTTCATCAGGCGACAGCCAGATTTGTGATCTGGATGTCGCCTGATGAAGCAAGTTGTAATTACTGGCGAAACGTCATACCCAGATTGTTAATGTTGTGGCTTGGCTCTCCAACACACCAGTGTGCTGTACTAGTACACTATACACTACTATACACTACACTATACACTACACTATACACTACACTATACACTACTATACACTATACTATACACTACACTATACACTACACTATACACTACTATACACTACTATACACTATACTATACACTACACTATACACTACTATACACTACTATACACTACACTATACACTACACTATACACTACTATACACTACTATACACTACACTATACACTACTATACACTACACTACACACTACACTATACACTACTATACACTACACTACACACTAGTGCTGTACTAGTAACGAATTGGCACGTCAAATCTAGATTATGGCACGTTCTGTTTACGTGACAACCCTTACTAGTTGGCTGTGTCGGGTGATGCTTTTAACGACACATTTATATATTTACACGATCTAACCAAAAAACCTCTATTATGAATAAAACAGCAATTGTGTTAAGATGTTCAAACACCAAATAGAAACGTTGTGTAAGGAATCATGTTCTGCATTAGCTACACGTATCCGTGATACTGGCAAGGGAGGTCCCATGATGTAGCTGATCAACCCCAGCTATAAATGCTCTGATGGTGGCATTGTCTTTGTGCTGTTCCCCTTTTGGCGTCCTCTGGCCTAACACTAGTTGAGACTAGGCCCTAAAGAAAGCTGTCTCTGGTGTAGACCAATCAGTTTAAAAGACAATGCATCATCATTTACTACCAGAGCATGCCTGCATGTTCACCGCAAGTACGGTGAATGCAGATGTGATTCCTTGGAAAAGGTTTCTGTTTGGTATTTTATTGCCAAAAAGGGTAAAACCGATTCTTAAAAAAAAAATGGCGTTTTCCAAATAAAGTAGTTCCCTCGGTTGCTGATTGGCCGAGGGCACGGCTTAGCCACGTGACTTAACCAGTGGCTCTAATTGGCCGAAATCGGCGGGGTGACCAATAAGGTCTAAATTGGTCTGTAATAAAGTAGGGCACTGACAAGGGGTTGGCAGGTGTGTTGGTTGTGAGATAAACAACAACCCGGTGATCACCACCCCGTGACCACCACCCCATGACCACCATCCCGTGACCACCACCACCCCCTCTGACACAGCCGGGGAGGGGGGGGGGAGCGTGGGGATGTCGCTCATCCAGCAGCGGAGACTAAGCAGTGCTCGCCGCCGAGGCGAGGACTTGCAGCTCGGTCGATGGTCGCGTTCCGCTCTCGTTGTCCCTGCTCCTCCTCCTCCTCTCCCGCATCTTCATCGCGATGACAAATCCCACAACGGCGATAGCGATCACCAGCAGAGCCACTGCGGCCACGATTATGGTGGTCTCGCCGTTGTTGTTATTCAACCCGGGATCTTCCACCACTGTGAAGGGAGAAACAGAGAAAGAGGAGGCATCGCGTTGAGAATGGTGGTGGGGGTTGCAGAGAGTTCACAATCCACACGCACGTGACACAGACTCGATCAGTGAGGCTGTGTCAGGTGATGGTGGTGGTGGAGATGATGGTGGAGGTGGTGGAGGTAGTGGTGGTTTCACAACCCACTGCCAATCAGTGCTGTCAAAACAGTTGATGCATCTGCCAATCATCTCAGTCAGTCAACCCACGGCACCTGCTGGGTCTGTCTCGTGACCTCCTCCTCCTCTTGCACCTAGACTGGCAAAGCAGTCATCCCATGGCATCTGGATCTGTACAGTGACTTTCTCCTCCTGCACCTAGCCTGGCACCGCAGTCAACCCACGGCACCTAGGTCTGTCCCGTGACCTTCATAGGTGCTGCTACTCGCCACAAACAGCACTTGCCCCAACAGTCTATCAAGGCTATACAGGGGATATTTGTCTTTGTTATACATTGAGGAAGTTACGAGTGGTCGTTCTGTGGGTAGAATTGCACCCACGATAGGAATGTGGAATTTCCACCACCGGCTAATCGGGGCTGTAAACTGTACTTTAAATTATAAACTATTTCTAATTTTACCCAGGTCAAGGCCTTACTGAGCTGTGCAGCTCTTTGTAAGACAGGCGGCCTGGCTATCGCAAATGATAGCCGCTCAACCAAGTAGCCGATATCTTCATCATCATCACGTGGATATTTAGCAGCCAAATACCCTGAACGCGTGACGTCGATTCTGGAGGACCCGGAGTAAAATCCACATGGCAACGGAGAGAGAGAGAGACGCAAACAGTGAAAGCGACGTTGTTGACAGGGTAATTGATCATGAATGGATTGAATGGATGGGATTTATAAGTGAATAGCTATATAATGAGAATAATTATTATTCTGAAGGTAAATTATGAATGGGTTGAAGGAATGGGGCTAATCAGTTTCAGTTGCATGTATTAAGTACAGCCTTGTGAGCCGTGCGGCTCTTGATTTGAACAAAGAACATCTTAAAGTGACTACACGCAACAGAAACATCCAGGAAAAAACAGCAAAATCTTCCAGAACAAAAAGCACCGTATATCAACGCCGTGTGCAAAAATCCCAGTGGGATGCAAGTCAAACAATAACAACCATAAGACAATATAGATTAAAGTTATCAGGCTAACTCTGTACTTCAACATACAAACATGGCTGAACCATACGTTTTCGAAATCCCCAAAATAAAGCAATAAAAACAATGTAACAGTGATCATAGGAACTGTGATTCAAATTTAACAGTAAACGATATACATAACATGTACGACAAAACTTTGCAGCCATAGCTGGCAGCATGAGTCACTCCATAACAGCTGGAGTATCAGCAGGAAAATCTAAATTTTTCAATGCACCTTTAAAGATCAGCACACTATAATCAAAACTCAAGATCATACTTTGCAGCGGACATCCGGAGCGATGCATTTGATTTCAGGCCACTGAATAGCAATGGCAGCTGGGGGTGTACAACTCCTCTAGAGCAGTTTTGAGTGCAGATCTCAGGGGTAGTGATCCAAGTTGCAGTTAATTTGTGATAGCATTCTAGACCCTGGGGGCATCAACAGTATTTGTACGGCAATAAGGAATGTGAAGCTGGTAAATGAGCGAAGACCTTAGGTCACATTTGTTCTTTGAAACAGTGAGGAGATCCAGCAGGTCGTCTGCTGATTTTTTAGTAAGTACATCGTGAATAAATAAGATCTGATGCACAAGTCGTCGATCATTAAGAGATGTTAAGTTTGACCCAATGTCGAGATCGCAGTGGTGGGTCCTGTAAGGGCAGTTCAATGCAAATCTTAAGGCCGAGTGATAAATTGGGTCAAACCTCTTCAGTACACTACTGGGGGCTGATTTATATACGATGTCACAGTAATAAAGTAGAGGAAGTATGGTAGCTTTTATCAATTCCAAACGGAAAATAGGGGGGAAGCAGTGCTTGTGTTGATACAGAAAACCAATTTTTAATTGTGATCTTGAAAATTCAGATTTGAATCAAAGATGACCCCAAGATACTTATATATATTGACTTGCTCTATTTGATAATTATTTAAGGAATGTAATTGTGGAAAAATAACTTCCTGCTTTAGTCCTGGTGAGAAGCATAGCACCTTGGTTTTGGAGGTATTCAGGACTAGTTTAAGAGCAACTAGCTGATGTTGTAGTTTGTTGAAATCACCCTGGAGCTTAGCAATCACGTCAAGTGAATAGCTGTACAATGATAGTATTGAAGGGGGGGGGGTTGTTTTACCTTTCAAAACGACGCTCAGAGTGATGCTCAGGTTGATATCCGAGTAAAAAGTTGCGCACGAGTAATCGCCGGCATCTTCGATTCCCACGGCCGAGATCTTGACGGAGGCGTTGCCCCGGCTCAGATCTCCCACCCACTCGATGTTGGGCAGTCTTGGAGTCGATTTGTCGTGGAAGACGAGGACCTGGATGTGGGTGAAAATTGTGAGCGATCGCGAGCGGGTGTGCTTGTGTGTGTGTGTCCTACACTGTTGGGGGGAGTGGTGGTGTAGTGGTTAGCGCTACGCTGTGCTCTGAACCAGGCGACCTGGGTTCGATTCCGGCTCACGGCCAACACCGGTTACGATTATCTGAACCAGTTCTGGGCTTCCTCCCCTAAGTCGACTCAATCTCAAATGAGTACCTGGTGCGGTGTGTAAACGTCGCCACTGGGGATACAAAGGCAGCCGGTCGTGGTGCTGGCCACCCACCCCCTCGTGTGCTGTGCCAGTCTTCATTGGTACTCACTAACAGCACTTGCCCCAACAGTCTATTAAGGCTATACGGGGGATCTTTGTCTTTATTTTTTGTCCTACACTGTGGTGGATGAGAGCAATGCCATGGAGAGGAGGGCAGTTCCAACATGGGCTCATCGCCTCATGGCGCTTGCAGCCACCACAGCAGCCAAATGTGGCATCTAGATGGATGCGAGGGGCTGGGAACCCTTCCACCTTTAATTCAATTACCACAAAAGCACGGGGAAAATATCGAGTTTGAGACGTGTCCTACACAACTTCATTTGGAGAAGCCAGGAGACTGAATCCTTGCCCTCGGAGTTCCTCCTGAAACAGCAATAAAACACTGCGGGTGGCCACGTGGAATGTTCGAACGCTCGCTGCGGATGAGAGGCTGCCACTCCTCTGTCGAGAACTGGACCGATACCGCCTGGCTCTCTGCGGTATTCAGGAGGTCCGGTGGACCGCCTCTGGATCCAGCCACCATGAGGGGTGTGCAGTCCTTCACTCGGGGCAAGAGACTGCCAAACAACAGGGAGTGGCTCTTCTTCTGAACAAAATAATGAAGGGGGCGTGGGAGCGTGGCGGTGAGGTGTGGGAAGCTGTAAGCCCCAGGCTACCATGGGCTCACCTTCCTATCAACCATTGGCGAGGAGTGGCAGTGGTGGTTACTTATGCCCCCACCGAAGATGAACGACAGTGGAAGGATGCAGACAAGGCCGATGAGTTAGATGCCTTCTATGACCTCCTGTCACAGGTGCTAGCTAAAGTGGCCCCTCGGGATAGAGTCATCCTGTTGGGTGACTTCAATACTCGAGTTGGTCATGATGTTGGCATCTGGTTTAGAGTGATTGAAAGGAATGGGCCAGGTCAGCTCAATAACAACGGTAGGAGGCTGCTAGACTTCTCTGCAGTCCATGGGTTTGTAATTACCAATACGCTGTTCCAGCATCGGTGCATCCACGCAACATCATGGATGCATGCCGAATCAAAGCAAGAATATCTTCTATACAATATAGTGATAAAACAGTGGATGCGGGCCCATGTCCTTGACACCAGGACCTACCATGGAGCTGATCTGCCCACTGACCAACAGCTTGTCATCTGTAAGATACACTTGCCATTCTTCCACTCCGGTGGTGGATGTACATTAAGGACCCAATTCGAACCCACAGTGACATGGTCTCAGCTCGCTGATGAAAGTTGCAAACGAGAATGTCATCATCACTTGCAGCTTGGGTTGGCATCGTCCCCCACTCCTCCGGATATAGAGGGGGAAAGGGTGAGGTTTAGGACTGTGGCTCATGCAACTGCAAAGGCTGCATACGGTCCAGACTAACCCCAACTTGGAAAACATAATGGGGCAAAGTGGGGATGACCCTGCTGAGGCTGCGGTGCCTCAAATATTAGAAAAAGTTATCACCCCCTGTGAGTTGGTGGCTGAAGTGCCATTTGTTGAGGAAGTACAGAAAGTATTAACAATATGGACCACTAGACGAGTTCCGCAGGATGACTGGGTGGTCTTTTTCTTTAAGCAGGGGGACTGCCCAAACTGTAACAAATACAGGGGCATCTCCCTGATAATTTTGCTGGGAAAGGTCCTGGCAAAGATGATTTTATTCAACATCGACTTGCCAGGCATGCTGAGGAGAGGCTTGGGGAGCCCCTATGTGGTTTCAGGCCAGGGCGGCCCTGCACAGATGCCATATCATCTGTCCATCTGCTACAGCAGAGGTGTAGGGAACTCCAACAAGACCTACATCTCTGCTTTAATGACCTATTCAGGGACTCCAAAAGCAACCCAGAGCCCTGGCCTATTGATGGTATCTTAGGCATGGAACAGGTCAATAAAATAGAAAGGTAGGTCTTGTTGGAATTCACCTGATGACGATAACTTGTGTTGCGATCCAAACCTCTGATGTAGCAGACGGACAGAAAAAATGGCGTTTGTGCAGGACTGCCCTGGCCTGAAACCCCTTTGGGGCTATGCAAGCCTCTCCTGAGCATGCCAGGCAAGGCGATGTTGAATAATCCTTGCGAGGACCTTTCTGGCCAGACTGAGGAGGAGGAATATGCCGCTGTAGTTGTTACAATCTGCACGGTCTTAAAGCGGGGAACCACAAGGGCATCCTGCCAATCCTGTGGAACCCGTCCTGTGGTCCAGACAATTGTGACGATGTCACGTAGGGCAGTCTGCAGCACACAGATGCCACCCTCCCTCAGCATGTCGCTTGGGAAATCACTCTCACTCATACACACACGCGCAAGCATGACGCTTGCTTAAAAATATATATTTTAAATATCATCTCACCTGTACGGATGATCCATTAGCTAATTTTCTTTCCCAGCTGACCATCTCGTCGTCAGGGACGGGCTCGTTAAAGAGACACGGAAGGAGCACGTCGGAGCCAACTTCTGTCTTTACGAGGCCCTGAGCCAAGGCGGAGCGACCACAGCTCAGGAAGCAGGAGATCCCTGCAATAGACGCGTGAGAAAAAATAAAACATTAATCACACGGCAACGTGCCGAACAGCCACAGCGCATCGCGTGGTGCAGCGGTAACACTCGCTTAGTCTTGCAGGAAGAAACACCTGAGTTCGATTCCATCACTTTTCTACAGTGAGTGAGTGTAGTTTGTATGATCTCCCTCTGTTCTACAGAATGAGTGAGTGTAGTTTGTATGATCTCCCCCTGTTCTACAGAGTGAGTGAGTGAGTGGAGTTAGTATGATCTCCCCCTGTTCTACAGAGTGAGTGAGTGAGTGGAGTTTGTATGATCTCCCGCTGCTCTACAGAAGTTCAACAACAAGAACAAGAACAGCGCACAGTGGCCGTGTGTAACCCACAGACAAGGCCACGCTCAGTACACGGTTGACGCAAAGCTGGTTTAGGGCTGATACATGGGGTTGATAATACTGGGTGGCAGTGCGTGGGTGGCAGTGCGTGGCTGGCAGTGTGTGGGTGGCAGTGCGTGGGTGGCAGTGCGTGGGTGGCAGTGCGTGGGTGGCAGTGCGTGTGTGGCAGTGCGTGGGTGGCTGTGCGTGGGTGGCAGTGCGTGTGTGGCAGTGCGTGGGTGGCTGTGTGTGGGTGGCAGTGCGTGTGTGGCAGTGCGTGGGTGGCAGTGCGTGGGTGGCAGTGCGTGGGTGGCAGTGCGTGGGTGGCAGTGCGTGTGTGGCAGAGCGTGGGTGGCTGTGTGTGGGTGGCAGTGCGTGTGTGGCAGTGCGTGGGTGGCTGTGTGTGGGTGGCAGTGCGTGGGTGGCAGTGCGTGGGTGGCAGTGCGTGTGTGGCAGTGCGTGGGTGGCAGTGCGTGGGTGGCAGTGTGTGGGTGGCAGTGCGTGTGTGGCAGTGCGTGGGTGGCTGTGTGTGGGTGGCAGTGCGTGTGTGGCAGTGCGTGGGTGGCAGTGCGTGGGTGGCAGTGCGTGGGTGGCTGTGCGTGGGTGGCTGTGTGTGGGTGGCAGTGCGTGGGTGGCAGTGCGTGGGTGGCAGTGCGTGGGTGGCAGTGCGTGGGTGGCAGTGCGTGGGTGGCAGTGCGTGTGTGGCAGTGCGTGGGTGGCTGTGCGTGGGTGGCAGTGCGTGTGTGGCAGTGCGTGGGTGGCTGTGTGTGTGTGGCAGTGCGTGGGTGGCAGTGCGTGGGTGGCAGTGCGTGGGTGGCTGTGCGTGGGTGACAGTGCGTGGGTGGTTGTGGTTACTGGGTGGGTATTTTCAGGGATTTCCCCACGACAGTCAAGAATCATCAGCACAGTGCACGCGATGCAGCAGCAGCATCAGCAATATCATATTGTGTCCATACTGCAGGAGGAATACGATGAGCTATGATAATCAATGGGTCTCCGTGGGTCTCTATGGGTCTCTATGAGTCTCTGATTCGCTATGGGGGTCTCTATGGGTCTATATGGGTCTCTGAGTGTCTATGGGAGTCTCTATTGGTCTCTTTGAGTCTCAATAGGTCATTATTGGTCTCTATGGATATCTGAGTCTCTACGGGTCTCTATGGGTCTCTATGGGTCTCAATAGGTCATTATTGGTCTCTATGGATATCTAAGTCTCTATGGGTCTCTATGGGTCTTAATACGTCATTGTTGGTCTCTATTGTTCTCTGATTATCTATGGGTCTTTATGGATCTCTGAGTCTCTATGGATCTCTATGGGCATCTATGGGTCCACTGAGTCTCTATGGGTCTCTATGGGTCACTGCGTCTCTATGAGTCTCTGAGTCTCTATGGCTCTCCGAATCAAAATATTGTATTCATACTGCAGGAGGAATCCGATGAGCTATGAAGCTCTTCTCCCACAGATGCACAGTAGGGGCACGTGGTAAGAACGTGACATCAACAAACTCAATAGCAGTGCAAAGTACAAAACAGGTCAACACAACTCACCCAGACGCACGCACAGACGCACCGCCGAACCACCCCCCATCCTATCAGGCAAAGCCCCACTGAGCTATTAACTTGCTTCTCACAAGCGAACACGGCCACCACAAACTGATTGCAACTCAACAAAAGTTGCCCCAAATCATCATTAGACCTCCTTTGCCAGTACCAGAATATAACAAAACTATTATATTGTGGTACTGGCAAAGGAGGTCTAATGATGTAGATGCTTACCCCGAGCCCTCATTACTTTGATAGTGCCGCTGTCTTTGAGCTGTACGCCTTTTGGCGTCCTCTGGTCGAGCACCAACTGAGACGAGGCTCTAAAGAAAGCCGTCCCTTGGTGTGGAACAATCAGTTTCAAGGACAATGCCAATGTATTGTCATAGTGTGTTTTTTGTTTGCATTTTGACTGCAAGTATTGTGGTTAATACAGACATGAATCCTCGTAAAAAGGTTTCAGTTTTGTTGCAAGAAAAAAGGGGAACAACCCCTATTATTGACCCAAACAATTTGGACATTGATAGCAGCAGCAGCATCAACAAACATGTCAACGCCTTATCAGTGCCCTACCTTAGCACAGACCAATTCAGACCTTTATCGGTCACCCCGTGCCCCTTGTAAATATCAAAGTTCATCCTACAAAGTCCCATCGCGAGACAGAAAAGCAAACAAATAGACACTAATCAGTTCAACACGGAGGCTTTCACGACCAATATCATCCAAAATAGAGGGTTTTTTTGGGTTAGATCGCGTAAGTCTATAAATGTGTCGTTAAAACCCGCCAACACCTCTATTATAGACAAATAATTTTGTAAACTCAATTTCCCTGTTCAAGATAAACGGATCGGTTGACAGTTATGGCTCACACGAGGGGGTGGGTGGCCAGCACCACGCCCGGCCGCCTTTGTCTCCCCCAGTGGCGATGTTCACTACTACACACCGCTACTCATTTGAGGCTAAGTCGACCTTGGGGAGGCCTAGGAGCGGTTGAGATAATCGTTGGCCGTGAGCGGGAATCGAACTCGGGAAGCGCTAACCACTATACTACCGCTCCCCATACACACACAGACACACACACAGACGTAGACACACAGACGTAGACACACACACAGACACACACACAAACACACACATAGACACACACACAGACGTAGACACACAGACATAGACACACAGACACACACTCACAGACACACACACATAGACACACAGACAAACACACAAACACACACACACAGACACACACACAGACGTAGACACACACACAGACACACACACAAACACACACATAGACACACACACAGATGTAGACACACACACATAGACACACACAGAGACACACAAACACACACACACACAAACACACACACAGACACACAAACACACACACAGACGTAGACACAAAGACGTAGACACACAGACACACACTCACAGACACTCACTCACAGACACACACACATAGCCACACACAGACACACACACGTAGACACACACAGACACACAGACACACACACAAACACACACAGACACACACAGACGTAGACACACAGACATAGACACACACTCACAGACACACACTCACAGACACACAAACACAGACATACACACACGTAGACACACACAGACACACACGCGTACACAATTCACTCGCGGGGTTTCCCACTCCGTGATTGTTTAGTTACAAACCAGTTACAAGTCACCGAGGACTACGTTACAAGTTTTCTGTTCCTTAAAGTTGTCATTGTTCTGTGGACGTCAGTATGTGTTTGTGTTCGTGCATTTGTGCCCGCTGGCAGGAAGTCACGGGGCAGACCCAGCAGGTGCCACGGGTCTACTGACTGAGATGACCGAGATGACTGGCTGATGCACCACCTGTGCCCCCTACTGTGTCAACTTGCTGTGCTTTAGCCACCCGGCGCTCCGCTCGTTGTTGTGAGGATCGCTACTTTGCTGGAGGGCGACTGCCTGCAACTGCCCAGTAGTCTCAAGGTGCACCTAGCCTGGCACTACCAAGCAGCGTCCTTTACGAACCTCCTCCTTCTCCACAGAGGCCGACCTTGACACCGCTGGTACCGGTTCTCGGCAAATCCACTCAGCTTCACATCCTCCTGTCACTCCATCTCTTCTCTAGCTTGTGCCACTCACTCGCTCACTCAACTTTTCACCGACCCACCCACTCACTCAGCCACTCAACCATTTACCTACCCACTCACTCACCCACTCAGTTACCAACTCACTCACTCACCCACCCACTCACACACCCACTCATTCACCCACTCACTCACTCACTCACCCACCCACCCACCCACTCACCCACTCACTCACCAACCCACTCACTCACTCACCCACTCACTCACCCACTCACCCACCCACTCACTCACTCAGCCACTCAACCATTTACATACCCACTCACCCACCCACTCACTCACTTACCAACTCACTCACCCACTCACTTACCCACCCACTCACACACCCACTCACTCACTCACTTACGAACTCACTCACTCACCCACCCACTCACCCACTGACTCGCCAACCCACTTTCTCACCAACCCACTCACCCACCCACTCACCCACTCACTCACTCACCCACCCACTCACCCACTCACTCACCAACCCACTCACCCACCCACTCACCCACCCACTCACTCACCCACTCATCCACCCACCCACTCACTCACTCACTTACCCAGGAGCTTCGATGCGATGCTGGCCATCTTCAGCCTCTTCTCTCGCTGCGGGATCCGAGATGAGTGGCAGCCTCTTGTCTTGGTCTCTGTCTCTGTCAGAACGAGGAAAGAGACGCTGCAAGGCGACACTGACGCCTGCTCTGTGATGCTTCCAGTGTTCAGGGTTCTGCTCGAGGCGCGGCTCCGGCTGGAGCACGCCATATACCACACACATCAAAGTTCAAAGTTCATTTATTAGGTATAGCCCTCTTCTTGGTTCTTTCGGTAAAGTCACGTAGAAGGGAAGTAATAAAATAATAAAAATAAACATAATAAAATAATTCTCACGACGTTTCGATACTATATATTACCTTATACATTGTATTAAATATTACACTTTAAAACTATTTATTATTATATAATATGTTATACACTATACCATAAACCGTCGCGTGAAAGGTACAACGTAATTTTATACTGAATATATAGCAGTGTGCTATACAGTTGAGTGTGTAGAATAAAACAGTGTAATATGACAAGGTATAGTCAATAAGCATATTAGTTGCTGCGGTGCCTTATTATTAACATTCCTTCCCTTTATTAATTCTGACCTTACTCCCTCCCTTTGATGCTGCTAATCCTGCATAATGCATGGGCATAATGACTTTAACCCCCTCGCCAAACCTCCTACGCATTTCACAAGTAGTGCTAATCGCATATCTGCATTTCCCATAAATATGCTAAATTCCTCTTGATATGCAAATTATTTTGTCAAGACGCTCTTCGCCCTCCATTCCAGCATAAATAGTCGCTCCAAGTCTGGAGCGTGACATTCAGACTCTGTCTACTTGACGGACCTGTTCTCCACCTGAGGACGGCTGCTTGCGTTGTGGCCGAAACGTCGTGAGAATGATTTTATTATTTTTATTTTTATTCTTTTATTACTTCCCTTCTACGTGATGACTTTACCGAAAGAACCAAGAAGATGAATCCCTGCAGTCACGAAAGCTTTGAATCGAAAAGACAGCAAAATATTGCAGAAAAATCACCCTACACCAACGCTGCGCAAATATCCCAGTGGGATGCAAGTCAAACAACACCAACCACAAGACAACTTAGATTAAGGCCATCAGTCTAACTCTGCACTACAACAAACAAACATGGCCAAACCAAAACACTTTTCGAAAATCACCTAAATAAAGCCATAAAAGCAATGAAACAGTGATCATAGGAACTGTGACCGAATTTTCATGTCGGTGATGTGCAGCGCGTCTTCTTCTAACGCTGGGGGGCCGGACAGACCCCCCTCTGTACCAGCGTGGACGGCACCCTCGTGGTGTTCACCTTCTGAAGCGCTCGCTCGTCACCGTGGCGTGCGTGTTGACCACCACGACCACCACGTGACTTCGCTTTTGTGTTGTGCGTGGCGCATTGAGCGCCACAGCGCGTGGATTTTGTAGTGTTTGTTTATTTGCCTGCGGGTGACTTTGTGTGTTTCGTATCGGAATCGCCTCCAGTGCTGTTGCAATAAAATTTGTTTAAAAATCTCTCTGTCTCTCTCTGTCTATCTCTGTCTCTCTGTCTGTGTCTCTGTGTATCTGTGTGAGTATCTCTGTGTGTCTGAGTGTGTATCTGTGTGTATCAGTGTGTGTATATGTGTATCTCTGTATGTGTGTATCTCTGTTTATCTGTGTATCGGTGTGAGTGTCTGTGTGTGTGTATCTCTGTATGTGTGTATCTGTGTGTATGTATCTGCGTGTATCTGAGTATCTCTGTGTGTGTATATGTGTGTCTGAGTATCTGTGTGTGTGTATCTGTGTGTGTCTGAGTATCTGTGTGTGTATTTGTGTGTACCTGTGTGTGTATCTCTGTGTCTATGTATCTCTGTATGTGAGTAGATGTGTGTATCTGAGTATCAGTGTGTGTCTGTGTGTATCTGTGTGTGTATCTGTGTGTATGTATCTGTGTGTATCTGTGTGTATCTGTGTGTATCTGTGTGTGTATGTATCTGTGTGTATCTGTGTGTATCTGAGTATCTGTATGTGTATGTATCTGAGTATCTGTGTGTATGTATATGTGTGTATGTATCTGTATGTATCTGTGTGTATCTGAGTATCTGTGTGTGTATCTCCTCACCTCGTGCAGTGCTGGAGGGGCCTCTGCTCTCGTCTCGAGTGCAGCTCCACCTCCTGCTGCTGCTGCTGTCTGTGAGAAGACACGGAAACAGCCCCTCCAGATGTAGCGAGTCTGGGTTCAATGCCCCCTCCCTCCCTACCTCGTTCCGTCCCTCCTCAGTGAACCCGAACACGTCATTGCTCGGTAGTTGCGGAAGGAAGTGGGGTCTGTATCTGTGTGTAACAACAACAACATCAAGGGTGGTGTAGTGGGGGGTGGAGTCTTTGTCTGTGTGTAGCAGCAACAGCAACAGCCAGGCAGGTGTAGTGGTGAGTGGATGGAGTCTGTGTCTGTGTGTATCAACAGCAACTGCATCAAGGGTGGTGTAGTGGAGTCTGTGTCTGTGTGTAACAACCACCACAACAACAACCATAAGGCAGGTGTAGTGGTGGGTGGAGTCTGTGTCTGTGTGTAACAACAACAGCAACCACCACAAGGCAGGTGTAGTGGTGGGGGGAGTCTGTGTCTGTGTGTATCAACAACAACCACCACAAGGCAGGTGTAGTTGTGAGTGGAGTCTGTGTCTGTGTGTAACAACAACAACCACCACAAGGCAGGTGTAGTTGTGGGTGGAGTCTGTGTCTGCAACAGCAGCAGCAACAACATTAAGCGTGGTGTAGTGGAGTCTGTGTCTGTGTGTAACAACAACAACAACCACCACAAGGCAGGTGTAGTTGTGGGTGGAGTCTGTGTCTGTGTGTAACAACAACAACAGCCACCACAAGGCAGGTGTTGTTGTGGGTGGAGTCTGTGTCTGCAACAGCAGCAACAACAACAGCCAGGCAGGTGTAATGGGGGTGGAGTCTGTGTCTGCAACAGCAGCAACAACAACAGCTCACGGCCATTAAAATGGCGGCATCGCTGTCGTGTGTCGCGCGTTCTTCTCAACAACTTTGCCCAGGGAGGGTGCAGCGGGCGATGTGGGGGGGGGAGGTTCGTCGCTGCCCATCGTTAATCCGCGTGGCACGTTCCAGCTACCTGCCGTCGACGGAGCGACGACGACGTCACAGTCGAGGCTGTCGCGGCCCAATGGGAGGACGACGATGACGACGATGACGACAGGAAACGTTTCCGATGGCCGCCAGAATCAGAATCAGAAAGGGTTTTATTCGCCATGAAAGTTCGCACAGACAAGGAATTTACTTTGGCGGGAAGGTTCATATATTTAACATATAGGGATCTTAAATCTTAAATAAGTGGTTTACAAGTCTAACTATACTAAAGGTACAAAGTCTAACTAATACTAAGGAGCTAAAGTATGTCAAAATTGAATAAAATAAAATCTAAATATACAATAGCTATAATATACAATATAAAATTACAAAAATGCAAATAGGGTAACATAGTGCATATATGGCAGGGTGTCATTGTGCAGATATTGTGTTAAAGTCAGTTTGAGCGTTGAAGTCAGTTTGAGTGTTAAAGTCAGTTTGAGTGTTAAAGTCAGTTTGAGTGTTAAAGTCAGTTTGAGTGTTAAAGTCAGTTTGAGTGTTAAAGTCAGTTTGAGTGTTAAAGTCAGTTTGAGTGTTAAAGTCAGTTTGAGTGTTAAAGTCAGTTTGAGTGTTAAAGTCAGTTTGAGCGTTAAAGTCAGTTTGAGTGTTAAAGTCAGTTTGAGTGTTAAAGTCAGTTTGAGTGTTAAAGTCAGTTTGAGTGTTAAAGTCAGTGTGAGTGTTAAAGTCAGTTTGAGTGTTAAAGTCAGTTTGAGCGTTAAAGTCAGTAGGGGCAGCCCTACGAGGGGGGCCCACAGCGAGCGAGGCTCCTCCTAAGGCCCCCCTCGTGTCGTCTTTGTTGTTGTTAGCGGCGTTGGGCCGCGATCCTCAAGAGGCGAGGACCTTTCACTGGCGCGGTCGCAAGGGGCGAGAAGAAGAAAAGGAGGAGGGAGTAGGAGGAGGAAGATGACACAGGCCCCTTCACTGCTTCATGACCAATTAACTTTTCAAGTTTTTTTCCGGTATCGAAATGATGGGGGGGGGGGGGGGTTACCCACCAACCCACGTGATCGTCATCGTCATTGAGACGTCCTTGCTACACCGGCTGGGACAAGACGGAGCCCCCCACTGAGCACCAGAGGTCGCAACCGGGTACCCGATACCCGTACCCAGCCGGGTACGGGTACGGGTAGCTGTTTGCGACCCTGGTGCGGCCGGGTACGGGTACGGGTAGGCCGTGAGCCACTGGTGAGTAGCCGTTTGTCACTCATTTCGGGTAGGGTACGGGTACGGGTAGGGAACGGCTACCCGTACCCGGCCGGGTACGGGTACCCATTTGCGACCCTGGTGCGGCCGGGTACGGGTACGGGTAAGGAATCAAAACCCGTTTGCGACCTCTGCTGAGCACCCAGGCAGGCGGCAAGCAGCCCGGACTCAGTCGGTGTTGTCAAGTGGCAGGGCGCCCCAGGGGCTCGGGAGATGTTGACTACCTCGCCTGGTACACAGGAGGTCGTGGGTTCTATCCTGACTTTAACGATGCCTGCTGCTGTCTATTTGGAGTCTGTGTCTCTCTCATCATCATCATGGTGGCTAAGAGATGTTGACTACCTCGCCTGGTGTACAGGAGGTCGTGGGTTCAATCCCGACCCTGACGTCGCCTACTGCTGTCTATTTGGAGTCTGTGTTTCTATCATCATCATGGTGGCTAAGAGATGTTGACTACCTCGCCTGGTACACCGGAGGTCGTGGGTTCTATCCTGACATTAACGATGCCTGCTGCTGCTGCTGTATATTTGGAGCCTGCGTCTCTCTCCCCGTGGTGGTCACTGCGTGGATTTGTCTCCGAGTCCTCCGGTTTTTCCGGGTCCACATTTAGAATCAACATCGCCACGCGTTTAGAGTATTTTACTGCTGCTGTACGTTTCCACGTGATGATCATAGGGGCCGTCCATAAATTACGTCACGCACCTGGGGGGGGGGGAGGGTCAAACATTTGTGACTATGTGTGACAAGGGGGGGGGGGGGGTTGAGAAATGTGACGTCACATCTAAATTTGCAACTTCAAATAAATATAGACAACACGTTCTACTTAGTAAAATAAAGTTTTTAGTAAATGTTTTCTCCTACAACATCAGAGTGCAGCTCCACATTAAAAACGCACTACAATGACAATAGTTTAAAGCGATTTGAAGCATGTTTTATATATTTTGGGTGGGGGCAGAGCTTTGTGACGTCATATTTGAGGGGGGGTCTGACTTTTTGTGACGCCGTGTGACGAGGGGGGGGGGGGGGGTCAAAAATCGTCCAAAATCGCGTGACGTCATTTATGGACGGCCCCATATCAGCCACGTGGTTGAGCTGTTAACATTTGTGATGGGCAGGTCGCTTCTGAAAAAGAGGCACGCAGCTCATGGGGCCTTACACTGGTAACTGGTAACAATCAAGTTTAGTTATAGTATCAATTTCGATAAGTATGGGTCTCTGTGGGTCTCTGTGGGTCTCTGTGGGTCTCTATGAGTATGGGTCTCTGTGGGTCTCTGTGGATATATGTTGGTCTCTATGAGTTTGGGGCTCTATGGGTCTCTATGAGTGTGGGTCTCTATAAGTGTGGGTCTCTATGAGTGTGGGTCTCTATGGGTGTCTGTGAGTCTCTATGAGTGTGGGTCTCTGTAGATCTCTAGATCTCTGTGGGTCTCTATGAGTGTGGGTCTCTATAAGTGTGGATATCTATGAGTGTGGGTCTCTGTGGGTGTCTGTGAGTCTCTATGAGTGTGGATATCTATGAGTATGGGTCTCTGTGGGTGTCTGTGAGTCTCTATGAGTGTGGGTCTCTGTAGATCTCTGGATCTCTGTGGGTCTCTATGAGTGTGGGTCTCAATGAGTGTGGGTCTCTATGAGTGTGGGTCTCTGTGAGTGTGGGTCTCTGTGAGTGTAGGTCTCTGTGAGTGTGGGTCTCTATGAGTGTTGGTCTCTAAGTGTGGGTCTCTATGAATGTGGGTCTCTATGAATGTGGGTCTCTATGAGTGTGGGTCTTTATGAGTGTGGGTCTCTATGAGTGTGGGTCTATGAGTGTGGGTTTCTGTGAGTGTGGGTCTCTATGAGTGTGGGTCTCAATGAGTGTGGGTCTCTGTGATTGGGTCTCTATGAATGTGGGTCTGTGAGTGTGGGTCTCTATGAGTGTGGGTCTCTGTGGATCTCTGTGAGTGTGGGTCTCTGAGTGTGGGTCGCTGTGAGTGTGGGTCTCTATGAGTGTGGATCTCTATGAGTGTGGGTCTCTGAGTGTGGGTCGCTGTGAGTGTGGGTCTCTATGAGTGTGGATCTCTGTGAGTGTGGGTCTCTGAGTGTGGGTCTCTGTGAATGTGGGTCTCTATGAGTGTGGGTCTCTATGAGTGTGGATCTCTGAGTGTGGGTCTCTGTGAATGTGGGTCTCTATGAGTGTGGGTCTCTATGAGTGTGGGTCTCTATGAGTGTGGATCTCTGAGTGTGGGTCTCTGTGAGTGTGGATCTCTATGAGTGTGGGTCTCTGAGTGTGGGTCTCTATGAGTGTGGATCTCTGAGTGTGGGTCGCTGTGAGTGTGGGTCTCTATGAGTGTGGGTCTCTATGAGTGTGGATCTCTGAGTGTGGGTCTCTATGAGTGTGGGTCTCTGTGAATGTGGGTCTCTATGAGTGTGGGTCTCTGTGAATGTGGGTCTCTATGAGTATGGGTCTCTATGAGTGTGGATCTGTACAGGCGCGGTTTGTCCACTAGGGGGCGATGGGGCGCCACCCCACCGAGCAGCTGGGGATGAGAAATTATCTTTCAAACTATAAATACTTCTCTCTAAATTGTTTTTGTTGTATTTTACACTTTTTTTAAGTAAAGTGATTCTTTCAACGCGAGTTGCCTACTCAAGATAACATTTTAAGTTGTTCACATGAGATAACCACTGCAACACCACATCATGGGACTTCCCTTGGCAGTATATAAAAATATAAGAATAGGTTTTACCCTTTCTGGCAATAAAACAGTTGTGTTAAAATGTTCAAACACCAAACAGACACCTTTCGCAACTAATCGTGTCTGCATTAACCACACACATACTTGTCGTGAACATGCAAACAAAAGCATGCTCTGGTAGTA